TTTAATATATCTTCTGATTCGTAATCATTAAATATTTTTTCCATATTATTATTCTTAATTCAATTATTTCTATTTTTTTAAGTACATATAAGATTAAAGTTTCGTAGTTTTTATCATTTCATCATGCATGTATGTAGTCATGTTCTTTATTATGCAGGTTTTTTATTTCAAATTATTCCTTCCTATCATATTCATAATTGATTAAATTCATATTAGATCATTATGAACTAGATTATCTTTATCATGTTTTCCTGTCACTACTAGCATCGTACTTTAGCAGATACTTCCTTCTTATCAGCGCCTCAACTTTGTTTACTCCCCTAAACGGCTTTCCTCGCCTATTGGTTTCAACATTAGGATGACATAGTATAGAAGTTTTCTCCCTATTTTCAGTGTGCTAATAAACTAGAAATCATGATTCAAATAATTCTAATACATAATAACTAACATAAATTTATTCAATCATATATATGATATTCAGGAAAATATGAAATTAGTTCCACATATTTTTTGAACAATATACCTTTGCTTCTTGCTTAGCCATGCTATCTGAAATATCTTATTGGATTTCAGATTTATCCATTAACTTTTAAGTATTTAGTATCTTGAGAGAGTGAGTTTTTATGAAAGTTTTTATTACGTTTTGGCGTTGCCTTTTTAAGTTACATATCCATTCTTTATATAGAAAGGATTTTCATACTACACTACAATAATGTACTACTATTCACTTTAACACTTGTCACCTAATAAATCACACCCCCTACCATCCCTTGCACTTGCCCATCGTGATACCTTACACTTGTACATCTACTTTATGACACACCATACCTTACTTTACACTTGTCCACTATTCCTATCTACTTACTTTAATATGCACATGCATAATAATGCATACTTGACTAATTTACATCTTATCTACACATCTTTTTTACTACGTTATTTACTTTATCTTTTTTGCTCCTTCGTCTGCTATTTGCATCTTATCTTCATCATCTTCTTTTACTCTAAATCAACATCTGGAATTATGTTATCTTCACCATTACATTTTGAACATATGTGATCAGGATATTTATGTCCAATTAATTTGCAATATCTGGTTAATAACTCTGTCGAAATAAATCCTGTTTTTAGTGCTCTCGTCATAGGTCGTTTTTCTGGCTTAAGTAATGACAAAATCCATCTCTGGACTTCATCCATATCTACTTTCCTTAGCTCCCTTGAATTGGAATAAATCATTAGCTGATCTCTTGCATAGTAGCTCCATATAACGTTTCCGTTTAAATAATTATTTGCTAGCTCCTGTATGATAGTTGATATACCAATTATTCTTCTGTTGGCATAAAAACTTGGTATCTTTATTTTGCATATCTCTTCTTGTTGTCCGATGTCCTCGGGTATAATCATATCTTTAGTTAGTCCTATCTTGATAACCTGTATTGGAGGTTTTATTTCCTCGTATAATATCTCCGCTGGTGTTGTATAGAATTTTATATAAAATAAATTTCCTTTTGTAACTCTTTTGTATGTGACGAATGCCTTGTGTAGTTTTGGTATTCCACTAACTTCTTCTCCGTCGTATGTGTCTACGGTATTTAACAGTCCGTAGTTGTAACATGTTCTTACTAAATTAGCGTTAGTTTTTGGCTGTGCAATTAACTTGTTATATCCTTGTAACTTTTGTGTCAAATAATCCTGGTTTGGTTCTTTTGTAGTTGATTTGGGGTTAAGGTTTAAATAAGTTTGGATTTTGTGTATATTTTCGATATAGGTTCGTGTGATGTAGTTATATGTCTTTTTCTCATTTTGGTTTTGCAAACTATTTGCGTATGTAGATGCTTGTGGTTCTATGGACATATGTCTAGGTGTCCTTTGGGTAAATGGTTTTGCGAATAGCTGGTTTAAGTTTGCATTTTTATGTTGTTTATCGCTAACTTGTTTGCTTGTACCTGCAGCTCTATTTAAACAAACATTATGGGTTTTAAGGAGTTTCCCATCGTCTCCTTTTAGCTCTGGGTTTTTTCCGTCTTCCGATCGACGTAGCTCCGCATTTTTATAGTCATGTTGCTGCCTAGCTTTAGACTTCAGATTATCTTCATTAGTCTTTAGCTTTTGTATCTTGTTGTCCATACTATCCACTTTTGTACAAAGTGTAGTAATAGCTTTGAGTAGCTTTGTCGTGATACGTAATCTGCAATAACATTCTTATCAGTTTTTATTACTTCAATTGTAAATGTAAAATTTAATATATTTAATACCAATCTCCTTATTTCTTTTGTTGTTACCGAATCTTGTATTTTTCTTGTTAGCCACCATTTTACTTGTGTATTATCTGTTCTTATAATAAATTCGTTATATACAATATATGGTTCAAATGATAATAAACACTTATACACTGAATATAATTCTCTTCCATTTATTTCCTATTTTATTTCTGTATTATTAAATGTTCCTGAATAATACCTACAATGATGTTCTATCGTATTGCCATCATATCTGTATTTTAATATTCCTCCATAACTTTTTTCACTCGCATCTGATTCTACTATATAAGTAATTATTTTGTTTTCATCCGGAAAATATAGTTTAGGTAAGTTTTTACATAATAATTTTACCTTTTGTATTTGTATTTGATCTTTGTTATTAAACTGATATTCTATATCTTTCTTTAAATTTTGTTGTAATGGTTTTAAATTCTCTGTTAATTTTGGTATATATTCTCTTACTTGATTTACTAGTCCTAAGAATGATTGTAATTTCTTTTTTGTGTCTAGTTGTTCATTTGAGTTAATTATTTTTTGTACTATATGTGTTTGCATTTTATTCCCTTTTTATCAATTTGTATTCCTAAGAATTCTATTTGATTTTTCATTATATCTGCTTTCTTTTTACTTAGACTTATACCTGAATATTCTATGATGTGTATAAATTTTTCTAATAATCTTATATGTTCATCTTGTGTTTTGGAATATAATAATATATCATCAATGTACACTACACAATTTTCTATTTGTTTAAAGTAATTGTCCATAAAGTGTAGATATCTACCTAGGCCCAGTCCAAAAGAGCCGCCTTCTTTTATCTATCATCCATAAGAAGTAGGGTTTTTCATTTTGAACTAACAACCATCTCCCTCTATGCCGCCGCATGGAGCTAGTTGAACTCACTATCATATGGTAATATTAATTTTTTATTATTGATTTTATATGTTTATCAAATTGAAATCATTTTTTGAAACTATTTCACAATCAACAAGAACGTTCATATTAACGTTTTTAAAAGAGAAATACAATGTAGTCCGCATCCAAAAACAATTGTATCATACCTGATATTTAGAATGATTTTGCTATTATTTTTTCAATTTTTTGACCAATCATAAAAACCATATGAAATTAATAGAAATTTCTAAGTGGAAGCATGCTAAAGGTATGAAACCTAATTATATCGAATTAAAAGTATCTTAATTATCATGTAGATGCTAGATGCTAGATGTTAGATCTTCGTCAAAATTAGCATGCTACATTTTAACACAAATATAGAACTGTGTCAAAATTATTGCGTTGAACACATCTAAGATGCTAGATCTTCATCCTAATATTTTTAATACAAATACAAAATCTAATAGTATCTTCATCCTGATTTTCTAATACACATATAGAATCTAAATAATAATTGCTTGACAATTTGACTTTAAAGTGGGCCAATTTTTTCCGGTCTATCAAGAATTAAGTTTTACTATATATAGCTATTACTAATATATCTTTATTACCATTCTAAAGTTATTTCAGTTGAGTTAATTATAACCCTAATTTTTAATACATATATAGAATCTAAATAAAAGTTACTGAGAATTTGAGTTTTAAAATCAAATGAATCCTGGATAAAAATCTTGGTCATTATCTTTTTTTCTAACTCAGTATGAAACAATTCATAGTGGGCCCATTTTTTTCTAGTCTATCCAATACAAAGTTGTAGTATATATATCTATTACTAATACATTTTTTATTACCATTCTAAAGTTACTTGTTAATCAAAATAAAAATTACTAATTGTTTTTTTTTTCTGAGATTGCCCTTCAATTTCACCAAACACATCAAAAGAAGGAACCATTTGGATCAGGAAATTTGTAAGTAAGCTATTGATCAAGTAATTAATTTTTTATTTATTTTATTTTTCTAGTTCCTATTATACAAGTATTTATCTTTAGTTACTTTAATTTTCTATTTGTCTCAAACATCAACATTTTAAATGCCCCAAAGTCTCAAGTTGTTCATGTTTAAAAGTTCTTTTTAAATTATAGCATTTGGAATTTATCAAATTAAAAATGTGGTGTCTTTTTTTTTTAGTTGTTGTACACAATTTTTTATTACAATTTAATAGTGTGAAAAAGTATAAAAGAATTGGTTTGGTGAAAATCGACATGGTTGTTTTCTCTAAAAAAATTCTGAATTTATGACATTTTGCTATAATTGCAGATCCCTCAAAGTTATTGATGTAGTTTTTATGAGATCATTGGATTTTATATATAAATAAATTAATTATATATATATGAGGTATATTGAGAAAATATTTGATAAAATGACAAAAAGTGTAACATGAATTCAAGACTCAAGAATAAACGAATCTTTTGATTTACTAACATTTTATCGTTTTATAAGCTTATACAGTGTGAAACTAATTAAATTATATCAGTCAATGAGTTGGAATAGTCTATGTGTTCAATTCTTTCTGAAATTTAGTTCTTTATTAGTTTGTGACTTTGTGCTATCTAATATATTCTACAAAATTTAGGCATATAGGTTTAATAAGATCAGTGGATTATTTTATTTTATTTTACCTTAATTAAAGATATTTGAGGTCTCTTTGGGATATCTCAAAAATCATTTAATTTTGATTTTTTATAACTTTTATCAATCTAAAAAGTGTATAAATATTGGTATTTCTATTGTCACATGTGATATTCGATTGAATTGATACATCATAAATTAGTGCAGAAGTCAACAATGGACGATCATAATGATACAACTGAGAGAAGAGAAAGTTTGGTTAATCTTATGATAAGAGGACCTAAAGAGGATCAAAATGAGGACACCTTTGTTACTAACAATAGAGATGGTGGTGCATCTGGAGATGAATTGAATTCTCCACATGGTATTTCATCAAAGAGGCATAAATACAGTGTCAATCAAATTCAAGAGCTTGAAGCGTACGTGTATCATTCCAAATTGCTTTACATATATTAATATGGTGATGATGATTAACATTTTTTTCAATTTATTTTCCTTTTGGTATTAGTGTATTCAAAGAAAATTCATATCCTGACGAAAAAACAAGACTAGAACTCGCAACAAAATTTTCCGTGGGCAAAAAACAAGTGCAATTTTGGTTCCAAAATAAAAGATCCATATCGAAGGTGATGGTCATATGTCTTCTTTTTCTTCATTCATTTTAACCTTGTGTAAATTTTTGTGTAACACTTATGAAAGTGAATTATGTTGTTTATTCAGACGCAATTGGAACGACATGATAAGAAAATGTTGCAACAAGAAAATGGAAAACTTTGCTTAGAGTATGCTGCAATGAAGGAACTCATGGAAAATTCAATTTGTGATCCCTGTCGTAATAAAGATACTATAAGGAACGAAAATATTGATGAGAAGGAAATATTGAATGAGCATGCTCGCCTGAAAAATGAACTTGCAAGGATTGCTATCCATGCAGACAATTTCTTGGGGCCTTCTACATTCTTAGAGGGATCATTAACTTCCATGATGGAAAATTTTGGGTTAGAATTACTTACGGAAAGAGATGAAATTAGTGATGTAAATGTTGTGGATGGTTTATCATTAAACGAGGTTGATTTTGGAAAATATCTAACAAGTCCTCCACCCACAAACTTAGTTAACAAAGATTTAACACTTGATAAATCAATGTTACTAAATCTCGCTTTGGCTGCCTTGAATGAGTTGCTTAAGTTGGCAATGAGTGATGAACTTTTTTGGGTTAGAAGCTTGGATGGAGGTGGGGAAATATTAAATATGGAAGAATATGCTAGATCTTTTATTCCAATTACTGGCATAAAACCTAGCCATTTCACAACAGAAGCCACAAGGTCATCTGGTATAGTGGCTGGCAACAGTCTGACATTGGTAGAGATGTTGATGAATGAGGTACGTTGGTTTTTCATCCCAATTTCTTCTCGCGTAAATTCGTTAAGAACTTTCCATTGTTAACCACTTATACCCCTATTTGGTGTGAAACAATATTGCTTCTTTTTCTTCTTCTTTTATGTTTAGTATTATTCTTACTTTTATAATATTTAACATATTTGTTTAATTAATGGTGCTTTAACTAACTGTTACATATTTTTTTTAACAATTAAGTTTAACTTTGAAGTCATAAACATAAGAGTATGTTTACCTGTTATTTTCTAATTTTTTTTATAATCATTGTCTTTTTTATATGCAGAGTCAATGGGTAGAGGTGTTTCCATGCATTATTGGTAAAGTCAATACTTTTGATGTTATTTCTACTGGCATAGGTGAAAGCAAGAGCGGTACTCTGTTATTGGTATTATTTCTTACTCATTATTTCGATGGAAATTACATACCTAATTTTTAGATTATTTTTTGCGCTAATAGCTTGAAAGTATTAATTTGCAGATTGAAACTGAATTACAAATTATTTCAAATGTGGTTCCTGTCCGTGAAATACAATTTCTACGTTTTTGTCAAAAACATGTTGAAGGTACTTGGATTATTGTGGATGTGTCTGTCGACACAATCAAAGAAGGTTCGCAACAATATAAAATTGAAAAATGTCGAAGGCTCCCTTCTGGTTGCATTATTCAAGATATGCCTAATGATTACTGTAAGGTAATTCAACTTAAATTGTTTTATCATTTGCGTCCCATATAGGTCTTCAAAATTTTAAGTTATTTTACTGATTGGATTGCTTGTTCATTCTATATTGAGGTTTTTTTAAAACTGATTCTCTTGACATTTGCTTCTAGCTTTTATTTTTGCTTGACAGTTTTTTATATAGAGTCAGCTGAGTCCATTGAAAGTTGTATCTTAATTCTGAACCTTATGTTTGTATTTTATGTTTTAAGATGTTTTTACAATTCATGAAATTGCACTATCATCGAATTCATAGCTATATATTTTGTGTTTTCTTAATTAATAAAATTTTAATTAGAAATGAGATCATTGAGAATATTCTATATCTTTTAATTATAAATTTATAATCTATGAATGAAGGTAAAACTTCAATATTATCATCATTAATATATAAGCGATATATTCGTGAAATTATACTATTATCTAATTTCATAACTATATATTTTGTGTTTTCATAATTAGTCTACTTTTAATTAGAAATGAGATTATTGAGCATATTTTTTATCTTTTAATCATAAATTTATGATCTATAAATGAAGGTAAAACTTCTATATTTTTCATGTTTGATATGTAAGCTACATACCGAAGTATATTTCTTCCACCTCTATGGCAGATGATTGTAATCCCAAACATTATTAATTGGGTTATATGTTCTATGCATTATTTTTCATGATCAACATATAGTAATTCTATTTTTTATTACCTTATCTTCCTTATACTTTATTTTATTCAAAATGAAAAGGTTGGTTTTCTTCTAGCATTGATAACTCCAATTATTTTAAAATTGGGTGGAGTATATTCTATCCTCTTTAAAAAGAATTGTTTTAATGCTTAATCTTTTAACCTCATAATGAAGCTCTCATTGTTAAATTTAATTTGTTATGTTGGCTTTCAGGTTTGTTTGAATTAATACATTTAGATACACAAATATGTTACTTTCTTTTGCAAAAAATTGCCTACAATGTTTCTCTACATTTTAGATCTTGTGTCAGGCCAACAAGTAAGACAAAAAATTGTGCACGCTCCATGCTATCATATTTATTTTTAACACCATCATAAATCTTTTGCAAGTTGATTTTTTTTATTTAGTGGCTTAATATTGTTATAATATTTTCAGGTTATTTGGATTGAGCATATGGAATATGATGAAATATTTGTTCATCATTTGTATCGCCCTTTGATCAGAGCCGGTCTAGGATTCGGCGCACAAAGGTGGATGTCCTCTTTGCAAAGGCAATCTGAGTTCTTGAGAGTGATGGCGTCATTTGTCAATTTCACAGGTAATCATGAATATTTTATTATTGCGCCAAGTCCTTACACATTTGAATACCAATTAAAAAATTTAATTTTGATAAATTTTTATTTTGGGCAGTTGATTCAAAGGGTGAGATAAGTATGGGAATATTGGCTCAACGCATGACTCGTAATTTTTGTGCGGGAATTTGTGCAACCTCTCACAAGTGGAAAACAATTCAAATAGAAAATGAAAAAGATGCAAATTTGATGATGAGGAAGAATATTAGTGACCCTGGTGAACCCATCGGTGTGGTTTTAAGTGCCACAAAGACAATTCAATTACCAATAAAACCACAATGTTTGTTTGAATTCTTCACTAATAAAAATATGAGGATCCAATGGGATATCTTATCCTGTAGTGGTCCCATGAAAAATATTATCCATATTACTAAGGGTCAAAATCTTAAGAGTTGCATCTCTCTGTTGTGTGCTAATGTGAGTATCACTTTTTTTAGAAACATCACATAGTTTGTTCTTTTATCTTATTGTGATTTATTAATAAGATTTTCTTTTGATTTGAAAATGTAGGGGGATGGCATCATTGCTAATCAAAATAACATGTTGATCTTTCAAGATACTTGCACGGATGCAACAAGTTCTCTTTTAGTCTATTCAATAGTTGATTCTTCAAAAATGAACACAGTGATGAAAGGGGGGGACTCTTCTTGTGTGGAACTCTTGCCCAATGGAATTTCAATAGTTCCTGATTTATCTCAAGATTATTATGCAAATAATAACAACGATGGAAATAACAATGAATTTTGTAGTGGATCACTGGTGACTATCATGTTTCAAATGTTTGTCGACAATCTTTCCACAACAGATCTTCCAGAGAAGTCAATCATAGACGCAAATGACATCATCTCTCATACAATTTATAAGATCAAAACTGCTTTCAAATGCAAGTGATTCTTCAAGATAAATTGTTCTCCATTGATCAACCATTAATTTTTTTGACTCTTTTTATTTTTTCTTATTTTGATTCATAGAAGAGGGATATTCAGTATCAAACTTGTGTGTGAAACTACATAACAAATAAATAAGTAATGCTTTGGTATCAACTCGGTTTCTTTGAAGATTAAGAGCTAGATCTTGATTCCTATTTATTATGGGATTTTTTTCCGAATAATGAGATATTATTGAATCATTTTTATTTTTTTTTGTCTAGAGTCTTGAATAACATTACAATGTTTTTAATGTCAATAATAGTATATATGACAATATTGTATTATGTTATTTTGAGTTTATGTAGGAAGTATCCTTTTGATGATTTATTGCTTGTTTGATTATTATTTTTCTTACTATGAGTATTCTTAATTTCAAGCTTGATAATAAAATGAGTGTAATAAAAAAAGGTATAAATTGGCCGGTTATTATATTCGAAGAATGAGGACGATCATGATAGTCATCTCAAAGTAGTTCTTCAAACTCTCAGAGATAGAGAGTTGTATGTCAAATTTTCCAAGTGTGAGTTTTGGCTTGAGTATGTGGCGTTCTTAGGCAACATTGTTTTTGGTAATTGGATGCAAATTGACACTCAAAAGATTGAGGCAGTGCAGAACTGTTCTAGACCCACATCTCCAACTGATATTAGGAGTTTATTGGGATTGGCCGGTTATTATAGAAGGTTTTTCGAGAGGGGTTCTCATCTATTTCATCCCCGTTGACAAAGTTGACTCAGAAGATAGTAAAGTTTCAATGGTATGAAGCTTGTGAGAAAAGCTTTCAGGAATTGAAAATATGGTTGACAATTGCCAGTGTTGACCTTACCGGAGGGCACACAAGGCTTTTTTGTGTATTGTGATGCGTCCAGAGTTGGAATGGGTTGTGTATTGAGGCAGATTGGTAAAGTTATAGCTTATTCCTCTAGACAGCTTAAGGTTCACGAGAAGAATTACCCAACCCATGATCTAGAGTTGGTTGTTGTAGTGTTTGCTTTGAAAATATAACATCACTATCTCTATGGTGTTCATGTTGATGTGTTCACCAATCACAAGAGTCTTTAGTATGTATTCAGTTAGAAAGAGCTTACTCTCAGACAGAGGAAGTGGTTGGAGTTACTCAAGGATTATGACATGAGTATTCTTTATCACCTAGGTAAGGCTAATGTTCTTGCTGATGTCTTGAACATGTTGTCTATGGGAAGTGTTGTGCCGTAATTTAACTATTTCTAGAAAAATCACTTTTTTTGAAATGTTCTAAGTATAAAAAAAAACAATTTGAGAAAAAATACTTAGAAAAGAGTCGCCACTTAATTTTTTAAAGAAATTAAGAAAACTTATAATTTTCAAAGATTTAAACAGAAAAAATCATTTGAAAATACCAAAGAGGGTTCGGGGTTCAATTTACACTTCGAGAAGGGTTTAGGCATTCGAAGTGTCCGCTAACATGCGGTTGACCTGCGACTTGACTAAAATATATTTGACTATTTTTAGAAAAAAAATAATTACTTATAATATGTTTGATTAAGAAAATAATTAAATAAATGACATATTTTACTTCGTTTTTTTTTTAGAGAAAAGGACCTAAAATGAAACATTTGACTCGAAATACAAATGATTGGAATATTAATAAAACTAGATTAATTAGAATTTATTTTATTCATTTTTTTTTTTTTGAAACAATAATTTAAACCCATTTAAAGCATGAAAATCATTTTTTAATTAATTGACTAACCTTTTTGAGAAAAGACTAAGTAAGTGCATATATATATATATATATATATATATATATATATTCAATTAATTGAAAAGGGGTTTGATTAACGTTTTTTTTTTTTTTTTTTTTAAAGTTTATTTGAGAAAAATACTTTAACTTACGACAATTTTGAAATGAATAAAAATGTGATTAAATGAAAAGCATTAAAGAACATCTCTTTTTAAGAACCAAAGTTTTAACTTAATTGAAAATATAAAATTTTGACCAATATATTAAAATAAATGAACACAAAACCATGAAATGTATTAGAATTAAACCAACACAACGAAAATGACTCGTCTTTTGGGGAGTCTTATTAAGTTAATTAAAAATTATAAAGTTAGAATTAAACAACAAACAATAAATAATCACAATTAAATAATTAAAAGGTAAGGGAGAAATTGAATTTGGGCCTCCTTTTGGGCCAAATTCGCTGAATTTTTTGGGGTTTACCCAAAACCCGTTTTTGGTATACAGCTGATGTATATCAGTGTATATGAGCATATATATTAGCTCTTTTCATGTATATCTTGCTTCCGAACACCTGTATTTTGCCTCAGCCCTGTATTCTCACATTTTTGACATGTATATCAGTGTATACTTGTGTATACAGCACATACATGACCTATTTGGCTTTTTCCAAACATCTGTTTTCAACTTCCTTAACCTGTAAGTCAGCTTCTCAAGATCTGTTCATCACTTTGGCTGACTCGAGAGGGATTCAATTCAACGAAATGCGGGGATGGAGTCCGAAATGGACTCGGATGAATGTCACATGTATCAAAATAAAGGGAAAAGGAATTAATGGAGGGTTTTGAACAATTTACATATGTAATTACGCTTTCAACTAGGAATAATCATGATATAGCTTAACTCAAGATATCTACAAATTACTACAAGCGCCAAAGAAAATATATAAGCATATGAAGTATGACTAACGCTCACCACGTGATATACCTATCACTTTCAATAATTTCACTTTAACAAATTAGCAAATATATCATACTTAAAGTCATATGCAGAATTGAAACAAAAGGAAATTACTTATGCTATAGTTGTAGGCCGTATAAAACAAGAAAAGAAAAAAAACCTTATGTGATTATTTAGAGAAAAAAAAAAACAAAAACAGAATGGGGATATCGACAAAAATGCAAAGCTAAAGTTTTGTAGAGATTGGTTACTTAGCTAAACCGGTCTTTGAATAGATTTAGACCCTAACAAAAGCATATGAATACACAAAAAGACACAATTTAAGATTCAAGACCATGAACATATAGATTATAGACTAGTCCTTAAAGAGAATCCAGTGTTATTGAATCTTTATTACACTCCTCAGATACAAAAAAAAAATAAAATTACTTATTCACTAAAAGGACATCAGAAGGGAGATTAAAACATAGTGAGGCAAGAATTGAGTAAAGGATGAGTCTCGAGCCTCACTCGAAACACCACCAAATTTAGAAATAACATATAAAATTGTATATGTCTACCAAGACGAGCGAGGATTCAAGAGCGAATGGGATGTCCAGTTGGGCATTTGCTCCTTTGGCTCGTTGTCTAGTATAACTGAGTCTCAATCATCTCTTCAAGCACAATATCACTTTCTCTGAACCCATTTTTTATTCCTTCCCTTAGACCATTTTGGATTGGAAAAGACTGATAGAAGTGAGACAATGATTTTGGAAAAGCTTGATCGATCTTTTGCATGTTCTGACCCTCCTTCGACACTAAAGCAACAGTTTGATGAGGTGCCATGATCACAAATTTGGATTTCTCTCTTTTGGTTGGAAAGGCTATGACTTTCTCGAGCTGTTCAAGATTCGCTGAGATTATAACTTTCTCCACATTCAAATCTTCTTCGACTTCAATCATATTAATAGTCACCCCTCCATGATTCGACATGGGGTTACTATTGACATTAGAAGTGGCAGTCTGAAGAGTGACGACCTTTTGATCTATCAGGTCTTGAATTTTATGTTTCAAGTTGATACAATCCTCAGTAATATGCCCAGCACCTCCTGAATGGTAAGCACAGTGAAGATCGGATCTATAAAGTTTGGAGTTGACATTGATATTTTTTGGATCAATTGTCTGTATTAGGCCAGCTGATTTTAATCTCTCGAAAAGTTGTGTCCGACTCTCAACCAATAGAGTAAAGACTCTAGAAGGTTTCTTTCCAACATGTGGGCGAGGAGGATTGTAGTTATTTCCTGGATGTGAACGTATTTGATGGTAGTTTGGAGGATTTTGGTGAGTTGGTGCTTGCGTTTGGAAATTTGGGTATTGTGGAGCTCGGTAGCTAGGAGGGGTATTTTGGTAGTACGGGGGTGGAATTTGATAACTTGATTGGATATTTGAACAATTAACTGATGGAGCTTGGTAATATGGATGAGTATTTTGGTAATGTGGATGTGGAGTTTGGTAATTAGGAGATGGAATTTGGTAACTCGTTGGTGGAGTTTGATAACTTGATTGGGTATAACAAGCTGGATATGAATTTTGTGGAGCTCGAGGATGACCTTTGTAAGGTGAGGATTTTCTGAAGTGTCCTTTTCCATCAGATGCGTAGGAAATAGAAGACACATCCTCTCTTTTCTTTTTCAGCAGTCCTGAAGATTCGGTTGGGGCGGCAATGCGAGAAATCTTTCCAGTTTTAATCCCATCTTCGATAGCCTCACCTACCTTGACTATCTCCGCAAATTTTGCTCCAATAAGCAACATTATCCTGTCATAATACTCTGGCTCTTGAATGCGTATGAACACTTCAACGATCTCCTTCTCAGACATGGGAGGTCGAACCCGAGCGGCCTCTTTCCTCCATCTATACGCATATTCACGATAGCTTTCAGTGGATTTCTTCTTAATTCTCTCTAAAGAATAGCGATCAGGAACGATCTCCACATTGTAGGCAAACCGTTCGACGAAATCTTTAGCTAATGCATTCCAGCTAGACCACTGTTTTGTCTCATGGGAGGTAAACCATTCTAATGCTTCTCCGTTCAAACTTCGGCTAAAAAGCCGCATTAATAAAGCTTCATTCCTTCCAATTCCCACGAGCTGGTCACAGTAGGCCCTCAAGTGTGCCAAGGGATTCCCTGTTCCTCCGAACGTGTCGAATTTTGGCACTTTAAACCCTTCTGGGAGGTCCAAATTCGGGTGGATGCACAAATCCTCGTAACTCAACCTATCCACTTCAGGAATATATTGCAGCT